AAAAAATTCTTAGAATTAAATTTTAAAATATCATGAGAAAATATTACTGTATTGAAGGGATAAAAGGGTCTTTTGAAAAGTATACATAGAGTGATGGATCGAAGGAGCTTGCCTACACATCATGTAAAATTTTAGCCTGTAATACAGATGAATATTGTAATGTATTGGAGTTACTTAATGATCAGAGAATAATACTAATGGCTGATGTGTGACAGGTTTAGATGGAAATTGTGTTTATTGGATCTAATTTAATGATTTCCTTGCTCCTCTGCCAATAATTATTAAACTGGCTGTCTTGCTATAAATTTTATTTGATTGCTATTTTAATATAGATTTCACAGTTCTCATATTTTAATTCAGCATTTTATTTAATATATAAATATAAATTATTAGATCAATATGTATTAGAAATAAAAGACCAGACACTCATAATTCATAAAAATTTTTAACCCCTTTAAAGTAAGAATCAATAAAATATCTACTATAAGATATAATTAGTGAATTGATTATCTTAAACCTCTAATAAAAAGCAATATATTAGATCAAGGAGAGCAACGCCAAAATATTACATTTTTATTTTGTAAAATAACAATATTAAACTTCCATTAATTCAATATTATTATTAATATAGAAAATTTTATTCAATTTTACAAAAAAGGTTCTTAAAGGGTTCAATAATAAATTATATATTAGATATCTATAATTTTGATAATAGCAAACCTATTAAAATGTTTAGATTTAGAGACAGTAAACATTAGATCAAGAAGACCAACTATATTTCAAAATGTGAAAACTCTATTTGGCTTTTTTTAAGTAGAATCTGATTAAAAAAAAGCAACTGCAGCTAATAATCAATCAAAAAATGTTATTTTACATTTAAAAAATTAAGAGGTTGGGTTCGAACTGATATGTTTGATCCAAGTTAAGATATAACTTATCCTCCAATTGTGATTTTAAATGATTTGGAACCAACTGAAAAATAATGGGCTTTAATTTTTTATTTTCCAGAAATATATTTTGTTAAAGGAAGAGCCATGAGTTAGAGAGATTTAATTAGAGCAAACATTAAATAAGCTGTAAGAGTTGTAATTCTTTCACCAAAAGAAATATCGACTGCAAAATTTGAAGATGATTCTTAAGAAAATGATTAAATATTTCAATAGCAATAGTTGACTCAAGATTAAGAGTATTTATTGGATGCAAAAACAATTTTTAAATATAGAAATGTTATCAGATTAAAACCTCACATTTAAATTGTTACGGAATTTGTTTCTCCTTCTAACATTTAATTTAATTTTTATTATTTGATAAAGATTATGATTTAATGAAATACTACGGTTATAATCATACACCATTATTTGCATTTGGATAGATTTATTTTTCTTCTGTAATGGATGGACTTTAAGTTTTATATCAATTATTATTAGTTGGTAATATAAAAGAAAATGAGAAAACTGGTGCTACTTTAGAATACCAATAAGGTTCAGGACCAAAATAAACAAAAGATTATTGTTCTGAAAATAAAGATATATCTAGCAATTTATTCTAAATTCCAGTTCCTAAAGCTTTTTAAAAGAAGCCATTCTAAAAATTATTTTATCATTTGGTGAAAATGAAGCAAATTGTTCCATTAGGATTATACAGATTAGGAGGGGCAACAGATAATAAAGTACCTTATATCTGTACTAATCCTGAACCAAACACTATTTTAACAAACAAAAAAGATAAAGTTAATAAAAATGTGAGGTGTAATTAATCTAATATAAACTTTGATCCTTTTTT